GGGGTGTAGATGAGGCCTGGGGGGTTGGATTGTGTGTGTGTGTGTCTGTGTGTGGAGAAGAAGGAGGGGTGGAGAGGGCGAGAGGCCAGATTGTCCAGTCCCCTCTCTCCTGTATCCCCTCCCCTGACCAAGCACTGCTTGAATCTTGACCCATCCCATCAACCCTCCCTTGGCTTCTAAACACCGCTCAGTGCCGGTAGGCTGCCAAAGATGGACCTTCAGCTCTCCACACACGCTCATACACACATGCAGGTGCAGTGGACTCTATAATGTGGAGTGAATACATTGCAGCCACTGTGTGTTAACTCTGCCGATAACCCTACACTATCTGTGTGGGGCATAATCGGCTGATATTACCAGTGTAAATTAAAGAGCCCCAGCGAGGCTGTGTGTGTGTGTGCGCGCACGCGTGTGTGTATACGTTTATGTGCCTGTGTGCATGTAAGTTTTCAGCAGGGGGCTTCCACAGCCCTGCCACAAACCCAGATAATAAATATCTATTATAAATATCATTATTATTGGGGCAATCTCCACCAATAACTGAGCCTCTGTGAAAGATGGCATGAGGGACCGAGCTGGATATTGGCAATATATCAGCATTGATTATTGAGAGTGCTGACAGAGAGAGGGAGGCAAAGTTAATAAAAACTAATAAAAAAGACAAGGAATACAGAAAGAACACGGGCTTTAGCTGGATCAGCTGCTTGTTCGCTCGAGGAAAGCGAGAACGGAAGGCGGAGGGCTGGAGATTGTGGTGTACAGTCATCGTTTGTGTGAGGCTGTGTGTATTTTCTGCTTCAACATACGTGTATCTGTGTACGTGAGCGTGCGTGTGAAGTTTTACCATTCTCATTTGGGAATTTTTTTCGTGTGTGTGACTTTGACTTGTGCACACACACAGCTCACTACTTATTCTTCTTCCACACCTGTATGTGTGTATCTTCTTGGATTGATTGAATCTTGGTTGGATGTGAACTCTACAGTTAGGATCCAAAGCCTGCACCACATCTTGCCTTCCCACACACTGGCACTTACCAAGATCCACAAACAGTACCTGCCCACCCACTCGCCAACACACGCACTGACAAAGACACCAAGAAAACAAACCTCATAAAAGCCCATGCATCATATCCATATTATCTTGACAAATCTATACATCATGTCAGAGCATGGCATTATGTGAATATTACATTTTGCCATCTGTTATTGATGTGTGTGTGCACGGAGAGGATATGAGAGGAGTGTGTTGACGCCTCGCGCTGCCCGGATGAGCCGGGACAAGGCGACAGTGAGAGAGAGAGAGAGCGTTGTCCATTCTAATAGGGCCTTGTTAGGCCGCTGACAGAGCCAGTAACGCCACCGTTGGCCTCCTATTGATTCCCAACCGACGCAGTTATTGATGAGTGAGAATTTAATTCGACCAGCTCGTTTGTCAACATGACATCACCATTTAACTACGACCGTGACATGGCCGCAAACACCCTCAGATGAGCCGGGGTCACACATGCGGAGCGGCGCGTGAGGACAAACACACACACATCCCGCCTGATCAGTACGAACCGTTTCACCGAGGAAAAGGGTTTGGAGTTTTTTTTGTGGTTAGAACTTTTCTTCTGCTTCATCATTTATAATAAAAACTAAAAAAAATCATGTTCAATATTCAAACTCTGTTTCTAGCCAGTCAAATCAATCATTCAAAATGAAGAACAGGCAATTACCAAGAGTGCAATAAACAATATGACTAATGAATGGTCCGTGTTGTGACTAATGTGTAGCCTAAGGATACTTTGGCTTTTTCTGATTGGACACATTTTTCATGCCACATCCTGACCTACAGCACATGACACAGAAAACATTTTGTGGAGAGAAATTGAACAAATTGCTTTCTATGAATAAATCTGCTTGTGACTACTGTAGGTGGGGAAAACTACATAAGCCAGAGTATCAGCTGCAAACAAACTGATTTGTGTTAAAGAAAAAACGCTGAAAGCAAAAAGAACTTCAAATAGTATATTTTTTATTTTCTTCATTTGATCTCTTAGTTTGATATTTTGTCTTTTTATTGGAGATGTTGTCTAACTGAATCCAATAATATGTAATAAGTTTTGAAAAGAGTGATTCAGGAGTTGTTTTTAAATATTTCACTCATTAAATAATTGTGGGGAGTAGCTGTGATGAACGGAGAAGTGTGTTTACCTATTAACAGTGTGTTTTCTCCATTAGCAGTAGCTTATAAATTTATTTGACGACATATATCAATATTGTGGCATCATAACGAGTTCATATATGTATATGATTTTTAGCAAATGTAATAAATTCTAAAAGTACAGCGCAGACATTATGTAATGCAGAAAAACCTGCAAATCCAGTGCAGGACACTGCAAGCAGAAGTCTCATTTATTTTGTAATTTAAAGGGAAGAAAAACTTTCTGGAAGATGTGAAGCACACAAATTACAAAAGATACACATTTATACTTTTTTTGGTTATTAAAAAGAATCATTCGGCAGTTAAATCTCAATCTCTAAACTTTATTTTTAGTTCCTGCTTTCCAGTATTACATCCATTACAGTATTTGTTATTTGTCCCTGAAAAAAATAGAAGCAAAGCAAGAGAGAGCGAGAGAGACAATTTTGGAAGAGCATTTTTCAATACAGCAGGGCAAAGATACAGCCCAGAAAACAATGGAACCAGCTATATATCTCTGTATGGATTGGGAGGCTTGATAGGGAGGGAGGTGGACAATCAGGACCATGGGCCTTCAATGAAAGCGGTCCAGCAGGGGTTATTGGCTGGGGCAGCCCCTCAGGGGAGCTCGCTCTCCCTATCTGTTTCTCTCTCTTTGGGGTTGTGGGTCTCACCACATCCCTTGGGGACTGAAACTGTAGAGCCCACCTCGCTGCGGGGGCCCTATAGGCACCAAGCAAGAAACACACGGAGGGGGCGGTTTGCAGAATTCAGGTGGTCAGTCCCAGACACATGGCCAGGTAGCGAAGCCTCTGTATTCTGTGCTTATTTTACCTGTCAAACAGTTTGCACCTGTGCAGACATGATGAGGGAAAATAACTTTAATAGAGGGAAAAATCGAAATTCTGCACATGCCTGAATTTGTGTGAAAGACGGTCAGTGAGAGGACATGAGTTTGTTTCTTTCCTTTAAAGTTTCAGCGTCTGCTGCAGAATAAGGAGATCGGCTCATCTGAATACCTGAAATCCACGCAGGTGTTTTGACGGTGGTGTGTTTTTATGTGTGACTGCCTCATTGATAGTTTTCTGTGTCTTTGTGGCCGCGTCAGGAGGAAGAAAAAGAAGAGTTTGGTAAGAAGAGCGCATGGAGGACAAATGGATGGATGCTGTATGTGTTAGCACCCCTCCTCCTCCCTCCTCACCCCCTCATCCACCTCACCCCTCCAACACCATCTTATTTTCCCCTCCTTCAATCTCACACACCCTCCCTCCATCCCTCTCTTCCACAGACGCGCACAACCACACTACATTCTACAAGAAATAATTGCTTTTGTCTGGAAGGAGTGCGGGGAGGAGGGAAAGGGGGCGCGCATGGCTCCCTTTGTGGAGAGAAGGGGGTCTTTGAAGGACAACTAGTCACTTCGCCCTTCCCTCCTTCTTTCCTCCTCTCTCTTCTTGCTGCCTCACCTCCCATCTCCTCCTTCCCTCTTATTACCCTGCCACCTTACTCCTCTTTCTCAGTTTTCCACTTTGCTACTTCTCCCCTTCCTCCTTTCCTTACTCCCCGTGTCTCCCGTTCTTCTCTCTCTTCCCTCTCCTCCTCTCCCTCAGTGGATCTGCGGATGTCATCTGTCATATGTGAAGCAGAGGGAGAAGGACAATAAAACCAGGTTGTCTACTACAGAGGATGACACATTTTTCATAATTAGGAATATGCCAGTTTTAGTGTGCGGCTCACATTTCTTGGCAATATGGCTGTCTGCTGATGACTGAGTAAATGACAAGTCTGGTGATGATGGGAAAGTAATTTATTGCACGTGCAGTTTCCATTAAAACGGGCCTAATCGCCCACAGCATTAAGTGAGCAGGCATAAACAGTCCTGCGGGATGAGGCTCTCAGGCCCAACAGGAGCAAGAGCTCGCTCATTCCTATCGATTTGCCCGTATTGACTGCAATGTTTAACGTATAGATTTTTCTATTTAAAAATCCATATCGACAATAATCTGGCGTGTAAGCGTGCGGCGTTGACTGATGTTGGCCTGTAATTGACAGCATGTAACATGTCGGGAGCCCGGGAGTGGGAGAGGGCAGAAGGGAGGCCGGCATGCGTGGAAGAAGGGCTTCTGGTGATCACCTTTGTAATGGAGGAGCTCGTCCCCTGACACCTGGGCTCTCTTGTTCTTTATTTTTATTGTTGCTCTTGTTGTTGTCATTTGTATCCTGCCTGCAAACTCAAATGCAAGCACTTATGCATGCACATGCTGCTCCTATCTCACTGAGTTTATAGCCTGCACTGTGTTTTCAGTCTGCTTGATATTTTCTCATGCCTGGAACAGCAGTGGTCGCTCTTGTCTTTCTGTCTATCTGAATAATGATAGACCCTACTCCGCTCGGGAGGGCTTATTAAACGCAGCAGTGATGAGATGACTTAATTGCGTGCATGCTGGGTATCCTGGCAGGTATTAGCACTAAGCACCTATAGGCATCCATGGATTCTCTTCATCCCTACCCAAGGAGGCCAGCAGTAATGCGCTGATCACCATTGGCATCATTATAGCCGGTATTATTAAGAGGGGGGAAAAAATCCAGAAATCAATACAGGATACCTTTTGCAGCGGTAGTGAAAACGAGGGAGATGGGGTGGTTGGTGGGGGTGGCGGTGGTGGGTGGGTGGGAGGCAGGAGGGAGGGATTGAGGGATGGAGGGAGGTGCGGGGGTGGGGTGGTGGTGATGTGTGAGTAGTAGCGGGTCCTCTCTCGCCTCAATGTTGCGGCCAGCCTAGTGGCAGATCGCTACAATCCTGGAGGGAGCCGGGTCGAATGAGCTGTTGGGGTTCCCAAATAATATCGGGGACAAACAGACAGACAAAAACAGACACACAGACGGATGGACGGAGATAGGCAAGTGTTCCGATAAAACGCGACACCATAATTCGGATTTCAGTAGATACGCTTTCTTATTTCCGTTTGGGTTTTTTTTCGGTTTTTAGTCTGATTTTTTTTGTTATTTATTTACCCGCTGTATTTATTTATTTGTTTATCTATCGATTGATTGCGTTTTAATTACTGCCTTGTGACAGAGAGCGAGGGAGGAGGAGCGTCAGGGCCAAGCGCGCGCGCGCGTTGTGTTTGTGTGTATATGTGTGTGTGCGCGTGTGTGTTTGTGTCCGTTCAGCCTTTTTTTGTCCCACTTGTTTATTTGGAAGCCTTTAATGAAGCTGTTTTAATTTAAAGAAGAAGAAAAAAACGCGCGAGCCGCCGCTTTTTGCCCACGCGGATGAATGTCTTACATGTAGCCTTCATGCAAAGGGAAGAAGAGAAGGAGCGCGTGCAGCTAGAGACCAAATACAGTATAGACCAAACCAAATAGTGCAGAAATCCAAATAAGACTTTCTAACTCTGCTGGCCTTGTTTTTTCACTGTCGAGCGCGTTGTTATGCGTCCTTGTTGTGCCGTTTTAAACTGCAAAGCGAATACCAAAGCCAAGCCCGGCCGGTGATGCTACAGGAATAGGCTAGCGACTGTTCTCATGCCTCCTCACACCTACAGGAAACGTTAACTGGTGAGGAGCGAGAGAGGAGTGTGAGGGGATAAAATAAGCTCCCGGGCCTCTATGTTTACTCAAGGAAAACGATATAGCGGAGCAAAGGTAACAGAGAGACGCAGGTGCATCGACGACAGACAGGTGACACGCAGACTTGTGTGTTTTTATTATTATTATCAAAGCTTACTTACAATAGGCCTGCAATTGTAACACAACTTTTCCTGTAGCCTGTAGAAGTGAGCTCTGATCTCCGTTCTGTCCGTCTGTGTGTTGGTCTGGACTGTAAGATAACTGCTTCACTCAAGGGACCATCCTACATAAATATATATAAATATCTAAATATAAATACTATGTTCTATGCACATTTACACCAAAACAAAAGCCGAGCACCAGTCTACAGATGTAAATAAAGTGCGCAGCTGGGGCTACATGTGTACACACCTAACGGCGAATGTTCTGAGCTCTCCATACCAAATATTGTCCAAAAGCTGTCTGCCAGAGAAACGGACGAAAGTGCAGGAGCTTCAGAGGACGACAGAGCTTGTTACAGTACATCTGACAGATTATTTGCATCAAAACAAGAAGCCGGAGGAAGATCATGTTTGTTCCTTTGCCGGTGCCGTTCGTGTTTCAGAGAGCTACCCCTGACCTCAACGCCTGGCGTCTCAAATCCCCTCTGGCTCTCCGCTCCAACTCCGGTAAGACATTTTTTCTCTTCTCCCTGCTACACCTCCATGTCGGCCAAGCCGCGGAGACCCGCCCCGCCTGCCTCGCTCGGTGCCGATGCACTTGCAGCGGGCAGAGCTGGCGGCGAACACACCCACTTGCACACGCACACACACACACACACACACCTCGAGCTCCTTCTGAGGGCTTGAACACAGTCCTCCGCACTTGCGGGGCGGCTGTTAAAAATCAGAGAAGCTGTCCCGGGCGCTTTGCTTTGTCCAGACTGATTGAAAATGAATTGCGTAAAATGTCCCGTTTCTTTTCGCTTTCCGTTCTGTGAAACGATGCGCCACTGCTCCACCCGTGTGTTGCTTAATTTCCACGACGCCCGTGTGTTCCTATTTCCGAGTAGGCTATTTTTTCTCTCCCCGTCTCCGTCACCGTCCTTCCCCTCTTCTCCACTGCCTGCGCCTGAGCCTCAGCCTCCGACTCTCCCCAACTAGACTCTCGGCAGGCAGGGAATATTCATGCCAACTTATCGATCCTGCGGAGATCGATTCCTGGGCCGGTGGAAGCAGAGAGAGGGGGAGATAGAAGGAGAGAGTAGGTGCACGGAGGAGTAACAACATACGAGAGGAGGCAATGGAAACGCTGTTTTCCACTCGTTTTTATTCCAAAGCCAACTGTTTAGTGTTTGTGGTTTATTCATATAGACTAAATAACTTGTTAGTGGGTCGACTTTGAGCTCGAAGAACCTTACTGATTCTCCTGACTCAGATTTTGCTCAGACTTCCATCCAGCTTAGCTGGCAATGATCGCATCTTTGTAAACACCACTAGAAATGGACTTGGAGTGATTGCATCTCTCTGTCCCATTGCTTGGGCTGCTCCACGGTTGAGAGCAGACTAGCAGAGGGAGTGTGGAGTCAGGGAAAGGGAGTGGGAGTGGGGGGGACGCCGTCTGCTTTCATCTGCGCTGAAGTGGAAGAAAAGGATGCATGGTGGGAGCAGCCAGTCCGGCTTCAGTGTGTTGCTGTGAGAAACCTCTTGCTCAGTCTAGCATCCACTGTTTCTAAGACATGCAACAGCTACTTAGCTCTTTACTGGCTTAACATCTTTGCTTGCCCTGCAGTCCTGCGAGGATTGTATTGTTTTGGGAAGTGATGCAAAAGGAGGAAAATTAGGTGAAACATTAGTCATTAACTATTGCATACACATAGACAAACTTGTGTGAAAAGCTGGGTTAAATGTGTCTCATATGCACCTTGGCCAGTGGGTGAGCTCTTACAGGCCCAGTCCCCTGCGCTCCCCTCATTTCCAGATCAGTTCAAGCCCATTTGATTTGCCAGGCTTCACCCTTTACTCCACATACTCAGTCAACGGTGCACAGTGTGTGACAGTGAAGGGATAGGTGATAGAGGGGGAGAGAAAAAGAGCGTAGAGGGATGAAAGGGACCTGTTACCTGCCATATCTCTAGAGAGATACATAGAGAAGAGAGGGGAGAGCGGTTGGATGGTGGAAGTGGCAAAGGAGAGAGGGACTGGGGAGGAGGAGTTTTTTCGGTCTCCGCACGTTGAAAAATGGCGAATGTCACAACGAGATAAAAAAAAAATGTGGAAAAAGAGCGAGAGAGAAGTGGGTGAAAGTACGAACAGATGACAAAGTGAAAAACGAGGAGGGAGAGGAAAACCCAGTTTGAGCTCGAGAGGTGAGAGTAAACCGAGGATGAGCCATTATGTTGCAGTGTCCCAGGCCAGGGCCGGCATCTGAATAAGCAGGCAATCTGATGGGATGTGTACACAGGCTGCTGAATTCCTTAGATGGCAGGATAACGTGATTCACAGTCCTCTGCTGATTTTATTCCAGGTTGATAACATAGCGCGAGGTGCTGTCCTTTCTGAACTCAGAGGGTTTGTTGCCAGGGGAGCGCTGGGTCACTTCAGCATCTGAGGTCTAAAGCAGGAGTTGCTTCTTCACCGTATATCAGCAAACAACAGGAATGATTTAATCTGAAAGTATTAAAGATGTCTTGATGCATGCTCAATCATCCAGGTAAGGAAATCCCAAAAAGTTGATTCTGTTTACTCATCCAAGTGATGAGAGTGACGAAATGCCTCTCACACTGAAAACGCCACATCCACATGTACAGAATCAACTTTTTGGGATATTAAAGATGCTAGGATTGAGTGGACACGCCCACAGAAGTGTGCTTTCACTTAGCCAACAAAGAGCCTTTAATACTGTTACACACACACACACACACACACACAGACGCACACAATGCTTTCTGGGTAGTTGTAGGGCTCTTGACTCAAGCTCTCAGTTAACTTGTCTCTTTGACTGGTGGCAGCTCCTTGACTCCTTTGCGTTAGAGCCTTTTGTGGGGTCAAAGGTCACGGCGGGAGTGTTTGACTCAGCCCCACCTGACCCTTTTTAGCCCCCTGTGTTTTGATTCTCTTTCATGTTACAACAGGCCTCGAGCACTCATGCACAACCCCTGTGGGGGCTCACACACGCACACACAGACACACAGAGACACACACTCACTGTCATGAAACAGACAGACCATCATATACACTACCATAAAACAAGCACGTTAGGCTGTTTGCACCTGGACAGCAAGCTGCTGTAACTGATCCAGGTTTTGTTCTATTTTTAATGGCATTGTGTCTGTCGAGGTACAGGTCATGGCCACTGCTGTGTGAACTCTTTGTGTGTATACGTGTGTATGTGTAGTAAAGTGGTTTGTGAAGCCATCAGCATTAACTGGTATATGAAAGTTTAATGGGACATAGAGGAGAAACCGCAGGTTTCCCACACAGTGCAGGGCTTGGTATGATATGATATAATATGATATGATGGGACATCAAGAAGACTGGAGACTGCCTTTCTCTCTCTCTCACACACACACACACACACACACACACACACACACACACACACACACACACCTGGATTCAGTTCATCTCAGCTATGCACCTTCTGTCACACACCATTAGCCACCATCTTCTACCATATACTCTCTAACTCTCTCTTTCACACACACACAAACACACACATGTGCACTTACAGTACGATCACACACGCTCCTCCGGTTTTAGCAGCTCGTGAGCTGTTTTAGTTCTGCCTCTGCATTTCAGACTGAGTAACATTTAACTATACACTTATTGATATTTGTTTTCCTCATAACATTTCCTGCCCGTGTACTGTAGGGCCGGTCTGATGTTATTATTTCCTTCAGTGTATTCCAATAAAATGTTCAGTCTTAATCCATTAATCAACATGTCCACAGCTCTGTGTCTGCGCTCGCTGCCAACTTTTAAGACATTTCTACATGTGTACAACGTCGCGCTGGCACGTCCTCGACTGCATGATGTAAGACCGTGCATGTGCTTACCCATTTGCTCTGTGTGTGACAGAGCGAGTGTGTGTGTGCAAGAGCATGAGCACACGTGCAAACTAGTGTGTGTAGATATAGATCGGTTTGTGGAGGGGAGCGTGCAAGTCGCAGTGTTAACATGATTGCAAATGACAAAATGTCAACCTGGGTTTGTTAGCAACATAATGGGGAATCAATAGACACGAGAAAGATGTCAATACTACATGCTTTATTGCATTAAGCTACCTCTCTCCTTCTCTGTAGCCCTCTCTCTCCTCTTCTTTTCCCTTTACCTCCCACTCTCTGCTCTCTGTCACAATACAATTCTCTCTCCTCTGCTCTCCTCTCCCCCTGGTAGTAGAATTAGATTGCAGTATATGAGCCAGCCACAGGGTTCTGAATGCTGCAGGCTGATGGCAAAATGCTCCAGGAGCTAATGGGCTGTTGGGCTCATCTATTTACGTATATTAAGCTCACATAGACGACCACAACAAAATCTGACAATGTGACGAGGCCCAAAGGAGGAGCAGCAGTGACGTCTTCTGTTTAACTGATGCATTTACGTAACGAGACAAACATACGAGTTATTGTAGGACACTTTTAAAATCATACACTCTGTAACTGTGTGCTATGGGTGACCTTTAAAATATATAGCACTGGGAATTAAGGCTTTTTCATGGTTTTGGATTAATCCAAGCAAATCCAGTCTATAAAGATTATTAGCAGGGTGCTGCTGTGTTATTCATGTTACAGTGGGGTTTAATAATTCCTTTTAATCCTATTAACTGTTTACCTTTTTATTGGATTTGCTCAGGTGTGCATATGCGCCAGTAGGTTGTATTTATACAAAGCGTGTGTGTGTGTGTGTGCGCGCGCGCGCACTGATGTGTTTATATTACTTGAGACTAATGTAGTATTAATGCTGATGAGGTCCCTCAGCTCATTAGCAGCAGGGAGTGGTATTGAGTTTCTCCCAGGGAACAGGAGCGACCGGGACATACACACATCCGCTGTAAATTCTTAACAACCATTAGTGTATTGATAACCATTATCATGCACACATATATATACACACACACCCACATTCACCAAACAATGACCTTTAAAGACATTGCTTTTAAATATGCATACTCCAGCACACAGGAGGACACACCACAAAAATCATGCAAACATATTCATCTGAACAGCACTTAGAGGCCATCCATTATTCTCCAATGTGTTCACAGAGACACGGACTCACACTCAGTCAAATGATTTTGTGCAATTGGTCACCGTGTCCGCTGAAATACAGCCTAGCATTAGTCCTAACCAGGGGCTGGGTGAGCACGCCACTTAATCAGACCTGGAGGCCTTAATAACAGAGAGAACACACACAGAGAAGGATAGATGGTGTGTGTGTGTGTGTGTGTGTGTGTGTGTGTGTGTGTGTGTGTGTGTGTGTGTGTGTGTGTGTGTGTGTGTGTGTGTGTGTGTGTGTGTGTGCGCGCGTGAGAGAGAAAGCAGCTAATCAACACATCAGCGGGAATAAATACAAACCAGCTGATTCCATCCTAGATATTGATTTACACTTCCTTCTGTGTTTTCTAGTTGCCTCTCCTTATCACTCCTCCAATAGCACACAGGCAATGTACATACTGAGGACTCAGCCAT